ATCTGCTACTACTCTTGGTTGTAGACCTATACCTCGTCTTGCTGCTGCTGCTGCAGCTGCTGCAGCAGCTGCTGCTGCATCTGCTGCTGCTGCATCTGCTTGTGCTGCATTTGCTGCTGCAGCATTAGCTGCTGCGGCATTAGCTGCTGCTGCTGCAGCATTAGCTGCTGCAGCTGCTGCTGCTGCATCTGCTGCTGCTGCTGCTGCTTCTGCTGCTGCTGTTGGGGGTAAACCCCTAAACTGTCCCTTTATATCTATTTGTACATCATTAACACAAGTGTCTCCTTTTTTATCTTTTATTAATAATATTATTTCTTCTTCTCCTTGTATACCACTCTCCTGTATAGACAGCACATGCATGCATTATCCTGCTGCTGCTGCTGCTGATGATGATGATGCTGCTGCTGCTGCTGCAGATGTTGCTGCTGCAGGTTGTGTCCCACATCACCACACATCGCAACGCTCTACGAGAAGCAGCAGCAGCAGCACCAGCACCAACACCAGCAGCAGCAGCAGCAGCACCAGGAGCAACAGCAGCAACAGCAGCAGCAGCAGCAGCAGCAGTTTACCTCCATGAATGTTCTCATCTTAGTAAAGGTAAGGACATCTATATCAAGGATAGATAGGTAATAAGAAAGAAGGATAGCTTCTTGCTGCTGCTGCAGCAGCTGCAGCAGCAAATCTTTACATAATAAAGGAGAGGAGACACAAGGAGACACTTTCTTCCTTGTCCCTTTTTCTTCCTCATCTATGTCCTGCTGCAGCTGCTGCTCCTCCTCCTGCTCTGCTGCTGCTGCATGCAAATCAAGGTTATGATCTAATAGATGAGATAAGGCCTCCAAGCCAAAGCGTCGATCTTCTTGCTGCTGCTGCTGCTGCTGCAGTTGCTGTTGCAGTTGCTGTTGCTCCTCCTCCTGCTGCTTCTGCTCTTCTTCCGAGCCCTCCTCTTGCTTACTGTCCTGCTGTTGCTGCTGCTGCTGCTGCAGTTGCTCCAATGATGGTCCACTGTCTCTAAGAAATACTCCTTTAGTAAACAGCAGCTGTCCCCTTTTAGCAGCAGGCGCATCTGCAGCAGCAGCAGCAGCAGGATCTGCAGCAGCAGCAGCAGCACCTGCAGCAGTTCCTGCAGCACCTGTTCGTGTCAAGTCTTCATCGAGATCAATATACATCTCAAATTGCTGCTGCTGCTGCTGTTCCTGATCCTGCTGCTGCTCCTGTTGCTGCCTCTGCTGCTGCTGCTGCTGCTGTCTCTTTGCTGCTAGACAGCTAAAGTCCCACTTTAGCAGCAAAGTAACAGCATCAGGTCCGCTCTTTATTTTATTTAATACTTCCTAATACAGAGCAGCAGCACAAGCAGCAGCAGCAGCAGCAGCAGCAGCAGCAGCAGCAGCAGGAGAGTAAACGAACAGCAGCAGCAACAGCGGCATAACCAAGTCTACCAGCTTTCAAAGCAGCAGCAGCAACAGCAGCAGCAGCAGCAGCAGCAGCAGCTTAAACGAACAGCAGCAAGCCGCTACGTACCCGAAGTGTGGTTTCTTCTTCATCAGCAGCAGGCTCTGTTGCTGGTGATGGTTCAATTGCTGCTGCTAGTGCTGCTGCTGTTTCTTGTGTGCCTGCTGCTGCTGCTGCTGTAGCTGCCTGTGGTGTGCCTGCTGCTGCTGCTGCTTCTGCTTCTAGTCTCCTCTTAGGTGGAGGATTTCCTGCCATTGCTGCAGCAAAAGCCTTAAAAGAAGGAGATATGTACTCATCGTCCCTTCTGAAGACAGCAGCAGCAGCAGCAGCAGCAGGAGCAGCAGCAAAGATGATTATAGCAGCAACAGGTAGAGCTGCATCTGTAGGAGCTGCAGTCCCTGTTTCTGCTGCTGCTGCTGCTGCTGCTGTCTCTACAGTGGGCTACCCCACAGAGAGATGATCGTTGCAAATAGAGCAGAATTGGGGGTGTATAAAGGGGTCAAATGTAGGGTTTAGGGTTTAGGGTTTAGGGTTTAGGGTTTAGAAGTATAGAGGGAGCAAATTTTCTTAAGAGGAGTAAATAAGGAGTGCATTTCAATATTCTCAATTCGTTCAACAAAAAAAAATTTTTTTTTGAAAATTAGGGTTTAGGGTTTAGGGTTTAGGGTTTAGGGTTTAGGGTTTAGGGTTTAGTACAGGGAGCCGATTCTTTTAAGGGAAGGAGCAAATAGTGCGGGGGTCTCGATATTATCAAATATATCTTCTCCTCCATCGGAGTCACAAAAACTTCCTGCTAATACATTATCTAAATGTAATAAGGAGGCTAAACCCTGAGGACGAATTGGCTTTACTGCTGATGTTTCTGTTCCTGCTGCTCCTGTTGATCCTGCTGCTCCTGCTGCTCCTGCTGTTCCTGTTGCTCCTGCTCCTGTTGCTGCTGATGATGTTGATTGGCCTGATTGTGCTGCAGCAGGAGATTGGACGGGAGAGGATGCTGCTGCTGCTGCAGGGGCAGCAGCAAGGAAATATGTGCTGCTGATGCAGAGAA